CAACAACAATAGGAATTATTAGAAAAGAAGAAAAGAAAATCCCCAAGCCAAGTTGCTTCAGGGCAGCAGTACCCCGGTTTTTTGTATTATACATTCAGGCAGTAGTTACATAATACAACATATATTAACGCATCTAATCCTCACAGTTTTATGAGTTAGGGCTTATTCCAGTTTTACAAACGTCGACCAGAGAAGATAAACTTTCCCAAGGTCACGCAGCTAAGAAGTAGTAGTCAGACTATGAATCCCAGCTGTCTGATTCATACTTTCAACAACTTTGCTATCCTGCCTTCCATAGAAGCAACAAAGTAGATAAGTTTTGGAGAATGCTTACAGGGCATAATACTGTGGCTGAATGTTTTAAAAGGAGTATGCATCATTGAGGCAATACTCTTAAGTGAAATAAATAGGACACACATGTATAAATACCGAATAGTTTCTCTGGTGTGAGAAACTGAAAGTGTAAATAAGGACTAAATGTATAATAGGTCATGTGAAATAGGAAGAAAAGGGGCAAAGGGGAAGGAAGTGGGAGGGCTAGGGGAAAGGATAGAAGGGAATGGGATTAATATGAGAAAATGGAAAAATAGGAACAAAGTCTTTGTAAATAGGGAGGACTGGAGGGGTTGAAGGGAGGGCTGGGCAAGGGTGAAAAAGAAGAACCAAGAGAGACTATGTAAAGGTGCAAATTTCCAATGATGAATGTCATTATATTGTATACCTAAAATGTACCAATGATTAGAATGAATAATCAATAATGTAAAATAGGAAGAAAAGGTCCAAAGGGTAGGGGTAGTGGGAGGGGCAGGGGAAAGGAAAGAAGGGAAAGGAAAAATGATGAGAAATGGAAAAAATGGAAATAAAGTCTTTGTAAATAGGGAAGGGTGGAGGGCGTGAAGGGAGGGCTAGGAATGGGGAAAAAATAAGAACCAAGATGCATTATGTAAAGGTACAGTTCCCAATGAGAAATGTAATTGTGTTGTATACCTACAATGTACCAATAAAAGAATTTAATACAAAAAAATAAAAAATAAAAAAAATAAAAGGATTGTGCATTTCTGGATCGCATGAAGTACAGTGATCTGTCACATACTCTTGTGTAACACTCACATAGATCATAATATAAAACATTCCCAACTCCCACAGAGCTAACTTCTGTCCTAATGCTGATGCTAATTGTTTTCCAGCTTTTCTAAAGAATTTTACTAACAAAGTGTATAACCCTGACCTGATCACTGTAGTTTAGTCTGGATGTGTTTGAGCTTTGTGTAAATGAAGTCATATGTCTAGTTCTTCACTTATTATATTGTGAGATTTGTATTGCTTACGGGTTGCTGTGTTTTAGCGATTCTTCTAGTTGTATTGTGTTTCATTGTATGAACATGGTACATAGTTTGTATGTTCTCTGGTAGATAGCAGGTTTTAGTTTTTTCAGTTTGGGAATATTATAAACAGTATGGTTGGGAACATTCTTATGCATTAAGCACACAGTTTTGTAAAACATATCCAAGGGTGGAATTGCCAGGCCTTAGAGAACATAATCTTGAATTTTTGTAGATAAAGCCAAACTTTCCAGATTTGTTCTACCAATTAATGTTTCCACAGTGGTGAGACTTTCCATTGCTGTACATCTTTAAAAAGAACAATAGCCATTTTTTTCCAATTTTAACCATTCTGGTAGGTGCATAGTACTATATCACTCTGGTTTTAGCCTTTTTTTACCACTAAGAAATACTTAGTACACAGTTTCTGAAAATACTAAGACAAAACCTTTGGTTTTCAAATATTTATTCTGTCCCTGTCTTTCAGTATTGCAACCAAGATTGATATGTTTTAGAAAGAGTATTTTAAATTTTAATTGGGTACACAGAAAGCAGTTAGTTTAGGATATTGCCCAAGATTCTTTTTTTTAAAATACTTTTTATTGGCTTATGTGAAAAACAGTTGTGTTATTTCTCTTCATAATTATTAAGCTGCCATTCCAGAAATCATAACAGTTACTGAAATAAAAGGTACAGTCTGTGGTTTATGAAGTTGGACTTAATGAGTAAATCTTTCTAGTTCCTCTGGAATTGAGCCATTTTTCTTTGTTGGATTGTGTGTGTGTGTGTTCTTTTTAAAAATAAAGTGCAGCCATTGAAACTGGTCTGGATGACGTTGAATGGCTGGTTACTGTTGATTGAAGTAGAACAGACTTAGCCGCTCAAGGGTAATGTCTGAAAGGTAAAGTGACACAAGATAAATGTGTTCTAAGCTGAAAATAGCAAAAGGCCAGTGGAACCAAGAGTTAATTGACTTGTATATTTAGTCCCACTTTAAATTTGCTTTAGGATAATAAAAATTTACTATGGTTTCTTTTCTGCACAAGTAATAGAAATAATGAAAAATAACTAGGAAATTAAAAAATTAGGCTTTGATAGTTATAAATGCTGATTAAATTTTTAAAATAATCTTAAAGTGTATGTGTGTATATTTTTTAAAAGTCTCATGTATATAGAAAAGAGAATTATGGAAATTTTTACCCATAACTGAGTATCCAAAGGTACCAGTTTTCTAGCTGTTTATAAGTATAAAATAGTCATGTTGTTTTATTCTCTAGTTTGTGGAAACTACATTTCTTTCTTTTTTTTTTCCATATGGTACTCGAACTCAGGACCTTGCACTTGCCAGGCAGGTGTGGTTCCACTGAGCTAAATCCCCAGCTCAGAAAACTAAATTTCTACAATATTTTTTGTTTGTTTGTTTGCTACAGTAGTTTTGAAATACAATAATTTAACCTCAGTACAACCATTTTGTCCCATGAATATTCATTTAGTGGTAGAAGGAGTTTTTTTCCTGTATGAAGGTTTCACTGTCTTGCCCAGTCTGGCTGAAACTCCTGGGCTCAAGTGATCCTCCTGCCTCTGCCTCCCACATTCCTGGGACTGCAGCTGTGTGCCACCGTGTCTGGCTTTGTAGTAGGACTTTAAGCTGAAAAGTTAGGTCCTGTGCTTTAAAAAAATTGAGCCGGTGTGGTCTTGCAACCCTGTAATCCCGGCACTCAGGAGACTGAAGTAGGAGGATTGCCACGAGTTCGAGGCCAGCCTGGGCTACCCAGTGAATTCAAGACCAGCTAAAACTACATAGCAAGACATTGTCTCAAAAAACCAAAAAAATAAAGAAAAAAGAATGTAAACTTCATGTGAAATCAATTATAATTGAACTTAGAAGGTAAATAGTTAAAATGTAGAATCTTGTCTCACCAAAAATAAAGTGAGGGGGTGGGGATTTAGCTCAATGGCACTGTGCCTGGCTCGCAAGCACAAGGTCTTCAGTTCAATCCCTGGTACCAAAAACCATAAAGTATATGCTACATGTGTGGTTATTTTTGATACTTAGAGGGAATAAATTTTGTACCAGTTGTGGCTTATTTTCTGTTCTGCTTGTCTTAGAACTTGAAAAAAAAAATCAGTTGCATAACTTTTTAATTTAAACTAAATTAATGGTTTGAATTTAAAATAAAGTAAAAGCTGCACTTCCTTTTCCAGTCACAGATGTGATATTTTCTGCTACTTAAGGATTGAAAGAGAACTTGAGAGATTTCTGGTAAAAGTGAATTTTATTTATGGAAGAATGATGGAGTAGAAGTTTTGATAAATGAAAGCCAACATGATTTTAAGTTTCTATTTAAAGACAATAAAATGTCTGACAAATTTCACAGATTGAGAATCAAAATAAGAAAAAGCAACATATATTTCATTCTATGCTTTCTGTACCTGTGATAAATTTTGGTTTCCTTTTGTTTGTGTTTTAAAAATTTTTATACTTGTGATAAATTTTGAAATACATCAGTTGTTTGCTACAGTATAATTAATCAGTGGGTATTTGAAAATTTAATGTCATCAATTAGATTCTTTCTTTTTTTCTTTGTTTTGGTACTGGGGATCAAACTCAGGTCCTTGTGCTTGCAAGGCAGGCAGCGGAACCACTGAGCTAAATCCCCGGCCCTAGATTCTTGATAATAGTATGTGAAGATTTTCATGCCTACATTCAAATGCTGTACATTGCTAATAGGTAGCCTGTCTTTGGCCAGGTAAATCATTTCCAAAATATTTAAGCTTTTCTGCCCTTTTAAGGTCACTGGACCAGTTGTAGTTGGCCTTCAAGCAGAATAAGTATTAAGGACCTAGATCTGATCCTATTCGGGTGTTCAGCATTTTGTTTTGCTTTGTTTTTTTTTTTTGTAGTACCGAAGATTGAACACTGAGGTACTTCCCTGCCCTTTTTGTTTTTTGAGACAGGGTCTCACTAAGTTGCTAGGTTGCACAGGCTGGACTTGAACTTGCAGTCTTCTTGCCTTGCTGCCCCAGAGTGCTGGGATTGCAGCTGTACACCGCTACGCCTGGCTTTGGGTGTTGAGTTTTTTTTGTTTCTTTGTTTTTGTGCTAGGGATTGAACTCAGGACCTTGCACTTGCGAGGCAGGCACGGTGCCACTGAGCTAAATCCCTGGGCCTGGGTGTTCAGTTTTTAAAGTAGGCCTTAAAGCCTGAAGAATACTTAAATTAGTTTTGCTATATGCTGATTTTACCATGTATGGTAGATAATTTAACTTAAGAGTTATGATATACTTGAAGCCCCTTTAATATAAAATTAAGTTTAATCTTGTTTTCGTGTTAAAAGTGATGTCTGGGGCCAGGGATTTAGCTCAGTGGTTTCACTGCCTGCCTCGCAAGCGCAAGGACCTGAGTTTGATCCCTGGTACCAAAAACAAAACAAAAGAAAAGTGACATCTGTGTTACAGTACTTTCACCACTGCTTGTGCTACTTCAGAATCAGGCGATAGCTGTACTTGGAGAGTATTGTTGGGTTCAGTCCCTTGAGGCATTACTATTTTCCTTTAGATCTTTGTACTCTAAATAAATAAAGACTGTGGTAGGTGGGACACAAACTATAGAAAGTGAAATATGGCAGAGACAAGGAAAATCCCTCTCTGAACTTTCCACCTTTTTTCACTTTTAAGATAAAGATACGGATACCACAGTGAAGGGAAACACGGATGACTTTGGCCTCCGAGATACCTTGAGCATTGCGTCAACTGACTCCTTTGCTTCAGCAGCAGAGGTAGGACCTGTCTGCTCCTATGAGAATTTCTCTTTCATTCTACGTAGTGCACTACAGTTTTTGCCATTGTGCTCTAACTTAGTTCCACTGCCATCTGTTTAGCATGCCCCTGTGGTGGGTGCCAGGACACCCCATGAGCGCTACCTGCTCCTGTGCTCACACAGATGCTGCAGCCTCTTTAATGAGGGGGCCACGTAAACACCTCCCCTGGATGGGCTCTGCCAGATGAGGCACAGAAGCGTTATCTTTTAGTTTTGTTTTGGTTTTTTGAGACAAGGTCTCACTATATAGTTCAGGCTGGCCTTGAACTTACTGTGTAGCCAGGGTGGCCTCAACTCACACTGAACCTCCTGCCTCAGCCTCCTGAGTGCTGGGATTACAGCCATACGCCACCATACCTGGCAGAAGTATTTTCTTGATGGAAAGCAATTTCATCTTATATCAAAAAGTTTCAGTGTTCAGAATCTTTAGTTCACAGATGTTACTTCTACATCTTTGTTTCAAGAAAATAATCTGATTAAAAAATTATATGTAATGATATTCATTGTGGCAGTTTAATAATAAAAAACTAAACACAGTCCAATGCCAAGTTACAGACATATGTAATTTGAAATGTTATAGAACAATAAACATGTTTTTAGTAATTTTTAATGACATGAGAACATGATGAAATAAGAGTGTATGCTTTGTGATTTTGAGAAAAACATGCTATATAAGCATGTGGGTAGAGGAAAAAACTGAGTATAAATACACTAATGTGCAAACAGTGGCAATCACTTTTACCGGAAAGCTGTTTCTTTCTTTCTTTTTTTTTTTGGTATGGGAATTGAACTCGGGACCTTGTGCTTACAAGCCAGGTGGCGGGACCACTAAGCTAAATCCCCAGAAACCTGTTTCTTCTTACTTTTACTATTTAATACAGACAAGTCCAAAGTAGTTTTTATGGAGAAGAATTTCTGTTCCCTTTGCGTTTTTTCCCAGTGAGAGAAGCAATATACATAAAACCACAAGGCTCTAAAGTTTCTACTACTCACATTTAATAAAATACTTTGGGGGCTAGGCTATAACTCAGGTAGAATGCTTACCTAGCATACACAAAGCCCTGGGTTCAATCCTCAGCAAGTGAAAAAAGAAAAAACAATTGCAGTATTCATTCATTGGATTCACTTTAAAGTTGTTGTTTAAATGAAAAAGGTTTAAGATATTTAAAAAAATTCTCATAGAAGAGAAAATACATGAATATACAGAAGGATGCAATATCCAAGAAATGTCCTAGGAATAGAGTATAATTAATGTATGGTGTCAAAACATGAATGTTCCAGGATAAATTCTTTTATGTAATAAATGTTAAATCTTTTAAAATTATATTTACTATATATGAAACACTTAAAATCAAGAAAACTATTTTTCTTTTGCAGTACTGAGGATTGAATCCAGGGCTTCATACGTGCCAGGCAAATGCTCTACTACTGGTATACATCCTCAGGCCTCAAGAATACTATTTTAGCCAGGTGTGGTGGCACATGCCTGTAATTACAGGACTCGGGAGGCTGAGGCAGGAGGAGGAGGATCACTATGAGTTCTAGGCTAGCCTGGGCTACATAGTGAGTTCAAGGCCAGACTGAACTACATAGTGAACTACATATTTTGTCTCCAAAAATAAAAAGAAATACTATTTTAATGGAGAAAGTTATTAAGAAAACAAGATCAGAAGTCTTTGAGAAGTTAACATTTCTGACCACATGAGAGCAATTTTAGAAATAGAAAGATTTCTTGAGGCTAGAATGTGGTGGCCCTTGTCTTTATTTTGAGACAGGATTTCAAATTAAAAAAAGCTTGGGATATACCTCAGTACGAAGGTACTGGGTTCCAACCCTAGTACAGAAAAAACCAACAGAGCAAAGATATCTTGCCTGTTTAGATGAAAACAGGTACAGCTGTAAGCTTTTCTCAAGCTAGGTTAATTATTTGTGAAAGTGATTAACAAGATTTTCCCATGTAACTTTGCCAAACATTGATTTGGAACCATAGTTGAAAAATTTTTTTATGTTTTTAAATATAATGGCTTTATTGAGATATAATTCATATGCCATAAAATATATCCTTTTAAAGTATACAGTTCAGTGTTTTGTAGTGTATTCATGGAATTGTACAGCCAAGGGTGCTTTTAAATTCCAGAACATTTTTATTACTTCAAAAATAAACTGCTGCCCGTTACCACTCACTCTCCAGTCCTTCTACCCTTGACCCTTGGAAGCCAGTAGACTCCTTTCAGACTCTGTGAATTTATTTGCCATATTCTGGAATGGAGACATACAATGTGTGATATTCTGTGTTTGGCTTTGTTTCACTTAGCATAGTATTTTCCTACAAGTTCTAAAAAGTCTTTTTAAAAACTAATAGGCATTGGATCAAGGATTTAGCTCAGTGCCACTGCACCTGCCTCTCAAGCACAAAGTCCTGAGTTAGATCCCCATACCAAAGAAAGAAAAAAAAAAAAAAGGAACTGAGGATGTAGCTCAGTGGGAAGACCCTGGGTTTAATCTCCATTACCTCAGCCACACTTCCCCCCCTCATATCTTTTCCAGGTTCTGGTAACCACTACTCTTTTCTCTACCCCCCCCCCCCCGGGCGATCAAGCTCAGGAGCTTGCACTTGCCAGGCAGGCGCTTCATCACTGAGCTACATCCCAGGCCCTCTTTTTTTTCTATGAGATCAACTTTGTAGCTGCTAGGCATAAGTGAGAATATCATATATAGATAGATATAGATATAGATATAGATATCTGCTCCTTTGGGGGAAAATAATTTAGAAATATAGGAAACTTCAAGTTTCAACTAGCAAAAGAACAAATAAGAAAACCCTTTTTCATGGTAAATTGCATGTCTTCATATCTGGCATTAAACCATACTATTTTTTTGTTTGTTTTTTGGGATTTTTTGAGACAGGGTTTCACGTGTGGTTCAGGCTATCCTTGAACACACGACAGTCCTCCTGCCTCAGTATCCCTAATACTGAGTGCTGGGACTACAAGCATGCGCCACTATGCCTGACATAAACAATATTATTGACTTCTACTTCCAAAGTAACATCTCAGCTCTAGTTGTTAATCTTTTCTGAAACCTTTAAAAAAGTATCTGAGAATTTTATTGAAAAATTCAGGGCCAGCCTGAAATACACAGCTCAGTAGTTTTTTTGTATAGTCAACTTGTGTAACCAAGTGTAAAGTGAGCTTGAACTAAATAGTGAAATCCTACCTTTTAAAAAAAGGGTAGAGGGCTGGGGATTTAGCTCAGTGGTTCCGCCACCTGCCTCATAAGCCACAAGGGTCCTGAGTTCCGTCCCGAGTTCAATCCCTGGCACCAAAAAAAAAAAATTCTTCCAACTCCAGTGGACAAATATCGCAATTTAAAAATGGCCAAAGGGTTTGAATAGACATTGCTCCAAAGAAAATACACAAATGTCCAATAAGATGAAAAATCTTCAGTTCACATTCTCTAGGGTCGGTATAATCAAAAAGATGGGGGCTGGTGATACAGCTCAATTTAGACTGTTTACCTAACGTGTTAAGGCCCTGGTTTCAATTCCCAGTACTGAGAAAGAAAAATACATAATATAATCTGTAATCCCAGCTCTTGGGAGGCTGAGGCAGGAAGACTACAAACTTCATATAAGCTAGGGCAATATACCAAGGTCCTGCCTGAAAATAAAAAGGCTGGAGATACAGCTAAGTGTTGTCTGGGTTCAATCCCTAGCACTGAAAAGCAAAACAAAACAATGAAAAACGAAAGATGGATGTTAACAGTTGTTGTTGATATTGTGTAAAATTTGAATTCTCATATGTTGCTGGCAGTGTGGGGAAATGGGCAGCCATTTTGCAAAGCAGTCTTGGTAGTTCCTCAAAAAGTAACACGGAGTTGCCATCTAACCCTCCTATTCCTAGATGAATGTCAGAATTGAAAACGTGTCTGCGCAAGAACTTGTGCACAAGGGCCCATAGTAGCCGTATTTGTGATAGCCCAAAGCCTCTCCACTTGTGAGGAGTACACAGATGTGGTCCATCCACACACTGGAATTTAGACACGAATTTGGAATTTCAGCTGTGGACACGAATGAAATGCTCTGGTGTGTGCTATATCACAGAGGGGCTTTGAAAACATTTTCCTGAGTGAATGCAGCCAAACACAAAGGCCCCACAGTGTTTCATTTCCACAGTAGGACACACCATAGAACCTGCAAGCAGACAGTGGTTTCCAGGAATTGGGGAAAAGGGTGAACTTGGGGTGACTGCTAACGCATAGGGTTATCTTGGAGGAGTGATAAAAATGTTCCAGAATTAGAATGCAGCGTTGGTTGCACAACTCTGATTATACAAAAAAACCACTGAGCTATGTATTTCGAAAGGGTAGATTTTATGGTATGGGAGTATCTCAATAAAACTATTATTAAAGGGCTGGGGATTTAGCTCAGTGGTTTTGCAGCCTGCTGTGTAAGCACAAGGACCTGAGTTAGATCCCCGGTACCAAAAAAAACCAAACTGTTATTAAAAATATAGTGTGTCATTGAATGGATAACTTATTAGAAATGAAGTTACTGTAGAGAAATTTTGTTTAGCTGGCTACAAAACAAGATACAGTGTTTGCAGTTTTTTTGGGTTTTTTGGGGGGTTTTTTGTATTAAATTCTTTTATTGGTACATTGTAGGTATACAACACAATTACATTTCTCATTGGGAATTGTACCTTTAC